TTCTCTTCTACTCACTGGGCACTGCTCTGTGTCCCCTCTGACACAGTACAGCATCCAGCAGGAAAGAGATGAACTGTCACAGGAGGAGAGCGATGTGAGCGGCCGGTGTCTCTCCTCCCGTCTGTCAGCTGTCACAGGAGGCCGAGCCGCCGGTGCGGAGGAGGAGTCAGCTGTCACAGGAGACCGAGCTCAGCCTCCTGTGACAGCGAGTCAGGATGGAGAGCGGGTACAAGCAGTTAGTGATCAGTGATCGCTGAGTGTTTGTAAATAATTGAGGACATAGTGTGTCCCCAATTATGAATGAATGGGAAGTGATCAACATCACCTCCTGTTCATTCATGATTGTGGACATGGTGAACATACCATCTACACAAGGTTTGTATGAACAGGAACACTAGGTATAGAAGAGTCCTGTTCATTTATAACAGGGGCTGCAGAAAAAGATAATGAGGACTCTGTGGGGGGGGGGATTTATCAAAACTGGAGCAGACAAAATCCGGAGCAGATTTGCACTGCAACCAATCAGCTTCTATCTCTCATTTTCAAATCTCAATTGAGCAAACCAAATAGAGATGCTGATTGGTTGCCATGGGCAACTGATCCAGATTCTGGCTGCTCCCGTTTTGATAAATTCCCCCCTGTGTTTCTCTGAGGACTCTGTGTTCTCAATCTCTTTTTCTATTTTAAAAGGGAAATATCAGGAATCTGTTTAAACCCCCAATATTTTCCCAGAGCCCCTAAAAGTAAAGTAAAAAAATAAAAATATTTAATAAAAATTTGTAAAGGTTAGAAAAAAAATGTTTCACGGTTTCGGCCTGATTTTTTTAAATGTTCGGTTTCGGTTTTGAAAATTAAATTTTCGGTGCACCTCTAGTAATAATGAAACATGATGCATTTGACCACACAGTGCAACATATTGCAAAACATTACAATGCAGCTGCAACATTTGTTAGGAAGATGAAGATGAAGATGAAGATGAAGATGAAGATGAAGATGAAGATGAAGATGAAGATGAAGATGAAGATGAAGATGAAGATGAAGATGAAGATGAAGATGAAGATGAAGATGAAGATGAAGAAAGATGAGAAGAAGGAGGAGGAGGAGAAGAAGAACATAATTCCTCAATATTTGAAAAACAAAAACATGAAGAATATGAAATCCAATAGTGCTTGAATTTTTGTGATGATGATTTTATTTGTTTAATAAAGAATGCAGCATCACAAAATATATAGAAATTAGTTTTTATTTAAGTTTTAATTGTCCTCTTTATTTTTATTTTTTTAGGTTCTTGGTATAATCCTAGAGGATTTTGATGTGATATGTTATTTTTATTGCAGTTGGCTCCCAAAGTGATTTGGTTATTTGTAGCTCTGCTTTAATCTCAGCTTTCTAATGAGCCACAACCAATTATAAAATAAGATGAATGGTCTAATCCTCACATTGAATGAAAACTGAAGCCATGGCACAATCAATTTTGTGCTGATGTCTGGTGTCCATGGATTGGGCAGATAATATGGGCAACATGGACTACAAACACAGATAAAGACCTAACATAGACAGCATGGTATGTTAGCTTGTGTTCCCTTGCAACACTGAGATGTTTTTAGAATGGTGCTGGTTAGGCATAATTTAGAGAAAAACATTTAATAAGTCAACATTTTCTTAAATACATTTCATGTAGAACTTTAAAATTGTATTTATTTTATATTATATACTTTGTTAGTTTCATGTGCTATCTACAGATGTGCTGTATCATCTACTAATACAGCACTATCTTCTACAAAAGGTGTTTGCATCAGATTATGTCCATCTTAAATATTATTATACAGGATTTATATAGCACCGACAGTTTGCACAGCGCTTTACAATACAAGGAAGACATTACAATTATAACACAATTCAAGACAAGATGGTAAGGAGGGCCCTGGCCCTGAGGGCTTACAATCTAAAAGGGAGGGGCCAGTGATACATGAGGAGGTAGCTGTGTGGGGATGAATTGTTTGAGAATGTGATGGTTGAGCGGTTAGGGTGAGGTGGGGTGGGCTTCCCTGAAGAGTCTGAAGGGATCGTCCAAAGGCAGTCAGAGTGGGAGATGGTTGGACAGGTTGGGGGTAAGGAATTCCATAGGATGGGAGAGACTCTAGTGAAGTTCTGGAGGCGAGCATGGAAGGAGTTGATGAGGGAGCTGGAAAGGTCTTGTGAAGAGTGGAGGGGACGATTAGGGTGATACTTTGAGACAAGGTTTGAGATATAGCCGGGGGCAGAGTTGTGGATGGCTTTGTAAGTGATTGTTAATATTTTGAATGTTATCCTTTGGGCTATTGGAAGCCAGTGCAGGGATTGGCAGAGGGAGGTTGCAGACACTGAGCAGTTGGTTAGGTGAATGAGTCTAGCAGTTACATTTAAATATGAAAGGTATATTCCATATTTTAGGATGTCATGGAAATTATTGCTTTCTGCCCAGGTAGAAAACTGTGTATTCAGATTCCTGTGTGTATAGCACAGATAAGGCCTTGATGTATAGACATTTATCCAACTGTCTGCCCAGAGCTGCTGTTTTATAGCAAAGACACAACCTAAATGTAGAGCCATTTAGTCAACTGTCCATCCAGAACCGCTGATTTATAGAAACAGCCTAAAGATAGAGACATGTATCCAACTGTCCACCCAAAACTGCTGGTTTATTGCCCAGACACGGCCTAAATATAGGGCAATGTATTCAACTGTCCATCCAGCACTGCCTATATACAGCATAGATACATTTTAAGCCATTTAGAGCCATTTATCCAACTGCACATCTATCGCTTCCAACTTTTTAGATTGTCCTATACAAAAATACACAAGTTGGAGACATCATGTATCATGTGATGTATATTTTAGCCAAAAGAAGCCAACAAGCCTTCCCCTAAACCAGAACATATTTTATATGGTATCACATATCATCACTTCAAGATGTTAATTCTTTATTTTAAGTTAGTGCCCTTGTGACCAATCATGCAATAAAAAATGTTAGGTCAGTTATCATGTTAGGAAAGGGCCTTTGTGAACACCTGTGCACTCAGTAATCCTTACGTACATGTAGGAACCCTGTCCTAAGCTGGATTGTCCCTGATTTAATTTACTGAGCTTTGCAGGTATAAATTAATTTATTTTTCTTACCACCATAAGCCAAGAACCCAACCGCGGGATAACAATGTAAGCCTGCCACACTACTAAGGAGGTCATTCGTGCATCACCACAAGAGGAAGAGTGCTACATAGAGAGCGACAAAGCCTAAAAAAAGACTACATTCCAAACTGTATACGGATGTTTAGCTCCTCTGCTCTCCTGTCCTGCTCTGATGAGAGCGAAGAAGCTTGAAAACAGTTGGATAAGTGACATCCAGAACATGAAGTTTTGCATGTACAATTTATCACAAGGAAAGAATGAGGAAGGGTTAGAACTTCAGCCAGTTTATTTTGCTGCCTGCCTCACCATTGTAGAGATTCCCCCCTCATTTGCTATTGTGTCACCTGTAAGAGGAAACCTTCCTAATGAAAACAGATAGAGGCAGTGGAATGGATAAAGCAGTTTACTGAAAAAAAAAAAAGTGGGCAGGGATGACTTTTAGGAGAATGTCTAATGCTCCTATGCCTGTAACCACCTCCTAGCTCCTAGCTCCTGGTTGCTTGTTGCCACTGCACCTATCCTAGTCTTCTTGTCAGCTGAGGGCTAATGAGCCTGGCCACACACCCTTTAGCCTTGGGATTGGTTAGTGGTGCTTTATTTAATCATCACAAGCCCAGTTTGTAATAGTTCACTTTAGTCCTGTCTGCATAAGCCATTATCTTGCCTTGTATATCCTGATCATGCATCCTAGTTCTGTCTTGAATCCTGTACCTGTCTCTTCCTGAATCTTGTGCCGTCTTATATCTTTTGACCTGTACTTGTCTTGTAATCAGTTCCTGTCTTATATTTTGTATCCAGATCCTGTTTGCTATCTTTATTTCTGTTTATATCTTTTGTTTTGTCACCAGTCAGTACTACTTCTTTGTTCTCGGGGTCATCTACGACATTTATAGCCAGCGTGTAAGGTTTAAGTCCTGGGGGCATCCAAGTGCTGGTAGGCACATTAGCCTTAAGGGAAAGGCAGCTGGTAGAGGTGAAGCAACTTGCTTCTGTACACTCTGACTAAAGTGTCTGCATCTGATCCTGACACCGACGCCATTCAGTATACAAAGATTTTATTTATTGTCAGCCCACAATAGGAAATTAAGGAAATCAGTCCTTGATTGGTCCTGGTAGATTCAATAAAATTCCAATAAATTAAGGTCCCTTCATTCTTTTGTTTCTTTTGCTCAACTGTAAGATTTATTGTGAAGGTGTAAAGACATGCACAGATGAAGATGCCTCGACATGTTTCTCATGTTTTTTATGCCCATGCAGTCTGTGTAAAATACGTCAAGGTTTCTTATTTGTTGGCTTTTCTTCTGTGCATAGCTGTATATATTCACAAACAAATCTTATGGTTGAGCAAGACAAACAAGAGAATAAAGAGGTTTCATTTATTGGGATTTTGAGGCATTTTTCTGTACTTACAGGGTCTTTAAAGGGATTAAACATGGGAAAATGCGCATGTGTTGCACAGATGCAATACATATGTATTATGTTTTAATTGTTCCTTGGCACATGCTTTATATGGCCTCTACATACAAACCTACTTTTATGTCAACAGTTTTAATACTGACTGATGTTCTTTTGCAATCCCCTTTCACCAGGTCATGTGTGGACACAATAAAACAGATGTGATGGAGCTGGTTCTTTTGGGGTTTAAGAATCTACACCATCTGAAAGGCTGGATTTTTTCCCTGTTTTTAATACTTTATATTACCACCCTTATAGGGAATATCTTGATTATAAGCTTAATTGCTTCAAACAAAAAACTTAGCTCACCCATGTATTACTTTCTGTGCAACTTATCTTTGTGTGAGATCATTTTCACCACTATAATTATGCCAAACATGCTTTATGTTGTCTGGGGCGATGGTGGGTCCATGTCCTTCTACGGCTGCATTACTCAGTTCTACTTGGGAACATCAGTGGGAAGTGTTGAATGTCTTCTTCTCACAGTAATGGCCTATGACCGATATTTGGCTATTTGTCACCCCTTAAGGTATTCTTGCCTCATGAACATCAAGACACAGAATCTTCTGGCACTGGGGTCCTGGCTTTCTGGTTTCATGGCGATGGTCATATTGACCGTCTCCATTTGCAAATTACAGTTCTGTGGGTTCAACACCATCGACCATTTGTTTTGTGACCTGGCTCCAATATTACAGTTGTCCTCTACAGATACTTATTTAGTGGAAATGGAATCTTTGCTGCTCACCATTGCTTTTAGCCTGTTCCCATTTATGTTGATACTTTTGAGCTACATCACCATAGTTTTTACCTTGGTGAGAATTTCTTCCAGGCCTGGCAGACAGAAATCTTTCTCCACCTGTAGTTCACATCTAGCGTCTGTTTGTACATATTTTGGGACAATCTTCATTATTTATTTGGTACCCCCTCAAAAGCATTCCATCAAATTAAACAAGATTGTGTCTCTGCTCTACACTATTGGAACTCCTCTGTTAAATCCAATCATCTACTGTCTGAGGAACCAAGAGATGAAGTCTTGTATCAAAGCTTATTTTATACCAAATCACATGATTAAAATGTGGAATTGAAGCTAAACTCTAGGCATATATAAAAACTAGGGATGTTCAGATGTACCAAGTACCATACTCGGTCCAAGTACAAGTACAAGTACAGATACTTTTCCAACTCCAAGACTAGACTAGAGAAAAATTCAAATGTTAGGAGGCAGCTGTTATTTTTAAGGAGCACATGGAACTCCCGGGATTTGTACATCTCTGTTTTAATGTATGATATATTTTTTTGTAAATATAAATGAAGGGGATGCACCGATACCATTTTTTCAAGTACAAGTACTGATACATTTTTGTTTATTGTCATGTGACAGTTTTTCTAAAACAATAAAGACTAATGATTTTAATACAGTGGTGGAGCCCCTGAGCTATGCCCCAGCTGCAACCGCTGCAACCCTGGTAGTTCCCATGAAAATGCCAAGTATCCGCACTGGTATCTGAACATCACTAATAAAAACATTAAGTCATTGAGTTTTATATTCAGTAAGACATGTATTTTCTTTAAATGGACGGTTACTAGTTTACAGTTATATCAGCCTCCACTTCCAGCAGCAAGTGGACTGGAAGAAGAAGCCAACTGGGTGTTATTTATTTAATTATTGGTATTTATATACCATATTTGCCGGCATATAAGGCGACTGGGCGTATAAGACGACCCCCTATTTTTTCAGTTAAAACATAGGTTTTGGGCTATCCTCGTCGTATAAGACTACCCCCCTTCCGAGGCAGCACTAGCGGCAGAGTAGACTACTTGGAGTTAAGGAGGTAATGCTGGAAGTAGTTACACCCACGAGGGTATGTTAGTAAGTAATGTTAAACGATAATACACTGTCCCTTTAAGGTAATTCAGCACAAGTTGTAGCAATACAGTTTAAGATGTCAGTACTTGCGGTTAGGAAGTGCTGCTGGCTGATTGCTGGCAGATGCGTCCTTCAGGCAAGGTTACAACGAGGGATGTGCAGATTGACGAGTAGTCCTGTTTAGGAGGACTAGAAGGTTCAGAATGGCAGGTGAGCGGTGAGGGTCCACTTGCTTAATGTTCTACCATGTTAGAAACGCAGAGCAAATGTAACCTCCTCCGTCTTATGGAGGAGGAAGATGTGTGGGGGGAGTAGCCGTGAGCGGCGGCCGACACTGAACCCTTTCAGGGACGGCATGCCACTGAATGCGCTGGACATGCTGCTGCAGCAATCTCGGAAAGGCAAGTCTATCGCGCTGAGCCAATCACGGAAAGCGATGTACGCGGTATACAGTATGTAGCTTCGGCTTCATACAGTGTACCCCACTGAGCCAATCACGCCGAGCGATGTATTCTATTAATGAATACAAAGCCTGCTCGGATTGGCAGAGGTTGTGTACATCGCTCGCCGTGATTGGCTCAGCGCTGTATACTGTATGTAGCCAAAGCTACCGTACATACAGTATTACCGCACATCCAGCGGGCTGACAGATTAGGGACGTTTTGTATACCCGGCGTATAAGATGACCCCCGATTTTCGGGGGATGTTTTTAAGTATAAAATGTCGTCTTATACGCCGGCAAACACGGTAGCATTGACATTTGTTACGCAGTGCTTTGCATAGTTGAACTTTCACATCAGTCCCTGCCCTCAAGGAGCATACATGCTAAGCTCCATATCTCACATGCATACATACAGGGCCAAATTAGACAGGAGCCAAATAACCAACATGTCTTTGGAGTAAACCAGAGTACCCAAAAGGAAACCCACACAAGCACAGGGAGAACACACAAAATCCTTGCAGATGGTGACCTGGCCAGGATTTGAACCAGGGACCCCCCAGTGCTGTAAGGCAGAAGTGCTAACCACTAGGTACCCTAGTTTCTGCTTGCACATTTGCAGACAGTGAAGATGCCGACAGCAGAGAGCAGAAACATTACCTCATCATTACGCTGTTTAATCTTCACTGTCCCGTCAGTAGGTGATTTGACCTAATGTTTCTGACCAAAATGTGCTGCTATAGTTGAAGGGAAGCATCAAGCTGGGCTGTCTGGTAGGGATGCCTGATACACATAGATGGCTAAACAGAAGTTAATAATTCAAACAGTTCATGTATGTTAACAGTGTTTTTATTTGCAGGCCTAGAACTCAGCTCTAATGTCATTTAAAATTTGACTATGTTGTATGATTTTAAAATGAGGGTAATGCTAGGCACATTTTAATGCCTAGATTTGTATTATTCACAGGCTATCCAACTGCATTTTCTTCCACAATTTGTATTGCAAAATGGTTATTGTGACGGACCCCCGTACTCAGGATGAGTATGTCTGCCGCTGTCTTCTTCCTTGCTGAGGAGATATTGCAACCTGAAGATCCTTAGCTCCCAGTTTCCCCAGTCACTAGCCAAGGCTTGAGAGTAGGTGAAACAAACTCTGCTTTATTGAGCAACTGCACAAACTTTTATACAGCAAGTGATGAAATCAGAATATAATCCCATCACATCCACCATCCCCTCCCAGACAATCGGTCTGCTCAACACCACAGGGTTTCCACTGGTAATGAACTCCAGACAGCCATAGCATGAGCCTGGCCAGAATGTCATTGTTCTGAGCTCCCTCAGAGTACAATGGGAGATAACGAGGGATGGTGTTGATAGTCTTTCCATAACCAGCACACAGCATAACGCACTCAAACATAACTCAACACCAATACACATTTAACTTATAAACTGATCACCATGTCGTCACAGTTATATTGATGTATGTGAAAATGGGCTTAGTGCCTCGAATATGCTGCAACTAATGGTATGAAGTACAACTTTTCCCCATATCGAATGACTTTATTAAATGATTGACATAGTCAATAAAAGTATTGCCCTATTGGGGCTTGAATGTCACAGTGTGGTGCTTTCATTTTAAATTTAAAGTGTTGTTAAAGGTTCGGGGGTTTTTTATGATCAAAACTTGGAGGCCCACCTTTACATGAATATATGTTCTTCTTCAAAAAGGTTTCTCTGCCTCATTCTCTAGTGGGACCATCACAGTGCTCTCCCCTTGCCCCCTGCATGGGTACCTCCATCAGCTAAGCGGCTGGTATGGAGGCACCCATACGTGTGTGTTCCCGGCCATTCCGGCAGTGGCTATGTGCATTCATAGCTCTGCGGTAGGCAACACCCCTCCTCTCCACCCAACAGCTTGATTGATGGCAGAAGGAGCCTATTGCTTCTTTGCCATCAGTATCCTCTCTCACAACCAGGAAGAACGGGGAACTGAGGATTGCTTCAAACCAGCAGCAGTGACGAGCGCCGGTCACAGGTAAGTGTGGGGGGATGGGGGAGAGACAAATGTACTTTGTGGTTTTTACCCTAATGAAGAGAATGCATTAAGGTAAAACATAACACCCTGCCATTAATGCTACTTTAAATATCATTATGTTGCTGCAGCCTTTTAGATTCTAAGAGGACTCAGCTTCTAAATAGCCAATAGGAAATCTCCACATCACCCAGGCAGTGATGTGGACACACAAAGAAGGACCTTCCTCTTTTGCAGTGAAAAACATGGGAGACTGTGGACCTGGAGCATCACATGACCATCTTTTATGCAAAAAGTTTGGATTGACATAAACTTTAGAAGTTTGTATTGTTTGTTAAACATTGGTGATATAATCATTATACTACTAAAAGTGTTGTTTTTTAATGTCCCCACAACTATTGTGAACATATTGTTACCAGTTTTAATAAACACCATGTGCTGGAAATTTAATAATCAAATATTCTTATCTTACTTATTTATCATACACTAATATGTAGCCGTAGCACAGATATAGCTCAGTAAAGGCACACACTATCAGAGGGGAGCTCATAGCCAAAAGAGGCAAGCACATCAGTATGGTTTCCAGAAGAGAAGGGGTTGCTAGAATAAGCTAACCTTCTTTACATTATTATTATTATACAGGATTTATAGAGCGCCAACAGTTTGCACAGCACTTTAGAATATGAGAAAGACATTACAATACAATTCAAGACAAGATGGTAAGGAGGGCACTGTCCCTGAGGGCTTAAAAAATCTAAAAAGGAGGGGCAAGTGGTACATGAGGAGGTAGCTGTATGGGCATGAATTGTTTGAGAAATTGATATTTCAGTGGTTAGGTTGGATAGGCTTCCCTGAAGAGATGAGTCTTAAGGGATCGCCTAAAGGTGGTCAGAGTAGGAGATAGACGGACAGGTTGGGGTAAAGAGTTCCACAGAATGGGGGAGAGTCTAGTGAAGTCCTGGAGGCGAGCATGGGAGGAGTTGACAAGGGAGCTAGAGAGCAAGAGGTCTTGGGAGGAGCGTAGGGGACGGTTAGGGTGATATTTAGAGACAAGGTTGGAGATATAGCCGGGGGCAGAGTTGTGGATGGCTTTGTAAGTGTTTGTTAATATTTTGAATTTTATCCTTTGGGCGATTGGAAGCCAGTGCAGTACATTAGAGAGCAGGGGATGGCAGAATAAGTTTACCTTCTTTACATTAGATTGTTCAGATTAGCTCAAAAATTCTCTATTACACCCAGTGGTGTGCCTAAACCTTACCACCTGCGGCAGGTGGCCGATTGGGAAGGGGAGCGGTTATGGTGAGGCACCCAGGAGCAGGGTAGAGGAGACAGCGCCACCAGACAGGAGAGTGACAATGCCCTCTGCAGGCTCGGCATCGCCTTGTCTGGTTCCTAGCAACCTGGCACAACCTGCCAGCATCTGCCCAGCTCCTGGCAACCAGTGTTGGCAAGAGTACCTTAGACAAAAACTAGACGACAACGAGCACTTAATCCTTGCAGTATGGGGATAGCCCCACTACAAAGGTCAAGTACATTTATTTAAGGGAAAATTAAATAGCCTGGCCTATCCAAACAGTTAGCAAGACACACATTTGATATCAGGTACTGAATGAATGTTCTAAAATCCATTTACTCACTCCTGAATGAGACCAGGTGTGCAGATGCAGCGTGACCGCACTGTACTGCTAAGTACCAACCAACAGGTGGCAGAGGCTTATTTTTTCACACATTAAAATCAATGGCAAGTTAAAAGCAGATTGAAGAAGCGGGTCAAAAACAGGTCAGATGGAGGCATGAATTGTCTCAAATTCAGGTGAAATACAGTAGACTTAAATGCCTTTTAAACCCAAAATTTTTTTGCCCATCTACACAACCCATAAAAAGTTTGGTTGTTTCACCTTTTGCTTATTTCAGTTTTGAACTTGTTTAAAAACGTTTTAAATTCCCAAATAGTCTATTATATTAATTTTCGTAATAGGCTCCCTATGGATTTTCTTAGCTCAGTCACCGTTCACATTCCCCTTAGGTTTCTTCTATTAAAAAATGTGGATGATGCATGAATATAAATCCAGATGACTCCTAGTTCTCCGTAAGAAATATCATGTATTTTACTTAGATGTATAAATACAATAATACTGTATATATGTGTCACATAGAGATGTACATTTGTGCTGTATCCATCTAGAGTTTATCAGTTTAGGTTTAACTTATTTAAATTTTTTAAGATCATAATACGCTTACACGCGCATTTCATTAGTCCACAACCCCTTCTGAAAATATTAGCTGACTGGTCATCATGCTTTTTAATGAGCCGGTGAATTTTAAATTTCCTGCATACCTGTTCTAGGTCAGTGACTTACTAAATGCATTTTCTCACAGGCATACCAAATTCAAGAGGCAATAGTTATTAAAGTAAATAGGGGATGTTCAGATACCAAGTACCGTGTTTCCCTGAAAATAAGACACTGTCTTATATTTTTTTTGGCTCAAAATAACACACTAGGTCTTATTTTCGGGGTAGGTCTTTTTTTCTTTTCTTTTAATGTACAACAATCCGCACTTATTCATGTAGAAAAGTCTACATGTATTCATGTACAAAAATGTGGTGATCAGGGCAATCAGGGGTGCCGTACCTTTCCAAGAGCAATTTGCTAACCAATCGCTAGCCAGAATGAGCTAAGCGCGATTTCACTATTGATTCCTCACAGGCGGAGCGCATTCGGTATCACTCCGCCTGTAACAGGAGCCGGCGCTATAGAGAAAGCATCGGTTTACTCGGCTCAGCTCCCTCCGGTGCCGCCTCGCTTCCTCTAGCGCTGGCTTCCTTCCCAATGCTGATTCTCTCCTGCGCCTCTTCAAGTTCCCCCTTATGCCACCACCGGCCCTGGGAATGGTCACAACTAGGTCATACAGGTATTTTCGGGGTAGGTCGTATATATTAGCACTTCCCAAAAATAGAACTAGGTCTAATTTTCGGGGTAGGTCTTATTTTCATGGGAAACAGGGTACTATACTATACTGTACTGGAAACTAAACTGTTTTGAATAGACAGCTGGAAAGAGAGTGATCATTATATTTTATATATGTGTTAAAAATCAATGGTTTAGGATGAACAGTTGAAATAAACGGCTGTATACTTAACTGCATTTTCCTGTCCTCTCCCCAAAGATGAAGAATTAATCTGATAATTTATGTAAGGAAGAAGCGGTCAAAAGTGATTGCCTACATTATAAAATGCAATGCTGTTATAAAATATATGCCAAAGTAAATCTAAACGTGAATATGGCAAGAAAGAGTAATTTATTGGCTTATTGAAACAAAAGATTGTTAATAGAAATTAACGCAAGTTTCTTGTACTGTCCTTGTAAAAGCAGTAAGACTTTTTAATGGGGATGTTCAGATACCAAGTACTGTACTCGGTACAAGTACATGTATATGTACAGATACTTTTCCAGCTGCAGGACTAGACTGAAGAAAAAATCAGAAGTTAGGGAGCATCTGTCATTTTTAAGGATCATACAGAGTTCCTTGGATTTGTACGTCTCTGTTTTAATGTATTATATAAAAAAAAAAAAAATAATTATATATATATACTTCAGCTCTGACCCATTTATATTGCACTATATATATATAAAAATATATATAAGGGATGCGCCAATACTATTTTTTCGAGTACAAGTACTGATACTTGCCCAAGTCCTCACAGTAACGAGTACTGATACATTTTTGTTTAGTGTCATGTGACATTTTTTCTAAAACAATACAGACTAATGATTTCAGGACAGTGGTGGAGCGTCAGAGTCAGGTCCCAGCTGCCACCACTGCAACCCCGGTAGTTCTAGTGAAAATGCCAAGTATCGGCACTGGTATCTGAACATCCTTAAAAGTAAATACATTTCAACATTTATTTTGAATTTAATTTTTTAATTATTTTTACACATGTAAAGAATGAGGCGTAAAACTATACATTAGAAAATTGTTATGTGCGTTTACTACCGTATGTTGTTAATGGAGTTGATATTGTCAATCAACTTCAAATATGAACAACCAAAACCAAACAATCAATGAAGAACATCAGCAGTACAGAAACGGCTGTTGTCAGCAAGGACATAGGAACAGTAATGTTCTTCTCAAGTTCAAATTTAAAGGCTCATGCAAAATGTATATAAAATGTATACCCTGTATGTAGTTTTCTGGCCACAACTGGTCCTTCTTAGAGGTATTCGTAGTTCATTAATAGATGTTGCCAGTCACTGTAACTAATAGTTTTTCTAAACCTGGAAACACCCAACAGATAATGTATCCTGGCAATCCTGCCAAGAATTCTAGAATTTGTTTTAGATATTTTGATAAAAAGTGTCTGGCAGAATAAAAATACAAGTAGAAGATAAAGAAACACAGAGCCCTTATGGTGAGTACTATTTCTATATTTTTCACATTCTTTACAATGCTTTTTAAAACTTTCTAGAACTAATATTTGTTATACTCTGAAATCTAGGGTTAAAGGAGAACTATGGGGTCAGGGCTTTTCCTCATAGTTCTCCTTAGGGTAACGGGAGGACACAAACTAGCGTCCTCCCGTCACCCTAAGCTCAGTATACCGCGAGCTACAGCTCGCGGTATACTGAGACGCCGCAGCCGGAGCGGATCCCGACATTGATGTCGAGATCCGCCCAGCTCCGTAAGTGACAGCTGGCTCTGCCTATCTAGAGGCAGAGCCAGCTGTACCCGCCCCCTCCCCTGTCCGTTCCGCCAGTCAGCGCTGGCGGATCGGAGGGGGGAATCCAGCCCCTCCCCTGTCACGGCAGAGAGCCGTGACAGGATCGAGAGGTGAGCGAACGCCGGTATATGTTCCCTCACCTCCCGATCTACTGAGCCGACCTGTGACAGTCTCATTGTCGCAGGTCGGCTAGAACTATGAGGTGAGTGAGAAGCACTCCCCTCATAGTTCTCCTTTAAAGGATTTATATATTTTTCTAATTTGTATAACACTGACCTATTTCACAGTGCCAAAAGAAAGGCCATTTGACCACATGCAAAGATAAGATGCAAGTTTCCAAAAAGGAAAAAGCTTTTTTTTTATGGGACTTTAAAGGTGTCACAACCACGTTGCGGTAAAATACAATTTTGTCACTTTTATATGTCACAGTATTATTAAAAAACAATTTCTCCTAAGGGTGAAGTGAGAACACAAACTAGAGTTCTTCCGTGACCCAAAGCTCAGTATATAGCGAGCTATAGCTTGCGGTATACTGAGACACCGCAGCCGGGACGGATCCCGACAATACTGTCTGGATCCACCCAGCTGCAGGATTGACAGCTGGCTCTGCCTATCCAGAGGCAGAGCCAGCTGTGCTCGCCCACTCCCCCATCCGTTTCACCAGTCAGCGCTGGAGGATCAGACAGGGGAGGGGCAGGGGAATCCCTGCAGGGAGCCGTGAGTGACAGTCATGGCTCTCTGCAGGGATAGATCGAGAAGTGAGCGAGCGACAGTTTGTGTTCGCTCACTTCCCAATCTGCTGAGCCGACCTGTGACAGTTTCATTGTCACAGGTCGGCTCAGATTATGAGGCTGAGTGAAAATCACTCGCCTCATAATTCTCTTTTAATAGTTAAGGTTCTTGAATGTATTTTTAAGATTTAACTCCTGAGTTTAGTGTCACTTCAATTTATTGTGAGGAGGAGAAGAGATAAAAGTTGATTCTAACTCTACTAAAAGATGACTTATGTTTTTGGAAAACAAAATGACAATTTGCTCAACATTGCATAAATTTGTATGTCTCTTTAATACTTGAATGATGCCAATTCATCAAATGTTTCTGTAATTATTAACAAAAGTCCATTAATAGTTTCTAAATCTGTGCTGCACATACTGATAGTTGCTCTGTTTTCCACCAGAACACATGTGGACAGAACAAGACGGCGGTGATGGAGGTGTTTCTCCTGGGGTTTGGTGATCTCCGAACCATGAGGCCTTTCATTTTTCTTTTGTTCCTTATCCTTTATCTAACCACAGTAACAGGTAACATGGTAATAATAGTCTTGATAGCTGCCAGCCCAAGACTCCATTCTCCCATGTACTTTTTTATCTGCAACCTATCTGCCTGCGAAATGTTTTTTACCACCGTAATCATGCCAAACCTGCTGTACATCTTATGGTGGAATGGTGGTCACATGACATTCTATGGCTGTATCACTCAGCTCTATGTGGGATCTGCGACAGGTAGCGCAGAATGTCTCCTGTTAACAGTTATGGCGTATGACAGACACTTGGCCATTTGCAACCCTTTAAGGTACTCCTCCATCATGAACATCAACACTAGGAACCATCTTGTTGTTTGGGCTTGGATGACTGGATACATAATTTTGGTGACATCAACAATTATAATCTGCAACTTACAGTTTTGTGGTTTGAACATTATTGATCATCTGTTTTGCGATCTAGCCCCAATTCTTCAGTTGTCTTCTTCAGATACGTCAGTGGTGGAGATGGAAGTTTTTTTAATTCTCATCATTCTTAGCGTCTTCCCATTCGTCTTGATTATTTTGAGCTACGGCTCCATATTTTACACCATCCTGAGAATTTCCTCCAAAACAGGAAGACAGAAAACGTTTTCTACATGCAGTTCACATTTAGCCTCCGTCTGTATGTACTTCGGGACAATCTTCATCATTTATTTGGTTCCTTCTCAGCAAAACTTTATTAAGATAAACAAGATGCTTTCCCTTCTGTACACTGTTGTGACCCCTCTTCTAAATCCAGTTATTTATAGTCTAAGGAATAAGGAAATGGTGGAATGTTTTAAGTATTCTTTAGCGCTCATTAATATACACTGAGTGGCCAGATTATTATGTCCACCTGACGTGTGTAGGCAAATTAGCTATAATTTGGCGCTGAAGTTGATAGAGGGCCAGACCATTATAAATAGGGAAGCGGGTTGGTTACCACGACAGTAGAAGTGATTTTTTCTGAAGATACGGGGAAACAACGCGATGTAACAGCCTTTGAATGTGGGATGATTGTTGGCGCTCTGAGCCATTGTCATGGTACCCTGCACAGACGTTCTCACACCACATGCAGGTACCCACGCAGGATGACCAAATTAATATGCCCACACAGAATAGGGTTATATGCACAGTTTATTGGTTCCACATCAACAAAACTACAAACCCAACAAAGAGGGGTAACAGGCCTGCAGATGTACAGCAGGCCTCGGGATACAAGAAGAGTGGTCAGGTACAAGCCGAGTCGTTAACAGGAGGGCAGCGCGGTACAGGAACAGGATTGATGAAGAGTGGTCAGGTGCAAGCCGGGTCGTCAACAGGAGGGCAGCGCGGTACAGGAACAGGATTCAACGGAGAGTGGTCGGGTAACAAGCTGGGTTGGTGACAGGTTTTCAGATAGGAAGCAAGGTTCAGGAAGCAAGGGACTCAGTCAGGTTTAGCAACACAATACTGACCCAGCTTCCTGACTGCAGGTAGGGCCTATATACCCTCCCAGGAAGCACCAGGTGATGGGATGATCAGTCACAGCTGGGGCACACACGCAGGTGAGTACCGGAGCTGCAGGTTCCTTACAGTTCCTGGCTGCTGGAGACACCCGCAGGCAAGCACAGGAACTGCAGGACCCGGCTCAGGCGCCACCTGGGGGTGCTCTGGATCCTGACAGCCATGGAGCGAGTATCAGCAAAACAGCAGAATTCGTTAAATGTTCAAGAGCAGCTGTTGTTAAAGTGTTTAAAGACCGGACTGTCAGCTGAAAATCTTGGTCTGAACGCGCGAATTGTGGCCGTCAGCGACTAGTCAATGTTAGGGCAGAACGGGGGAGGGGCAAGACTGGTACAAGACAACAGAAGGGCAACAGTGCCATGTCAGATTCCTCGCATCACCTTTCAACATCTCGTGGAGTCACCAGGCGGCCCAACGAAGTCATTTCGTGGAGTCATCTCGTGGCCCAACAAAGTACTGATGGGTTGGTCATAATAATCTGGCCACTCAGTGTAAAGTAATAGTCAGTTTTTATACCTTTACCTACCAGTGTAAAACAGAAGTCAAGAAGTGAGAATGGGTTAGGATAAGGTAAGAGAAATCAACACTAATGCAGTTTTTGCACAAATTCACACAGGGGGTGTAGACCCTGTTTAATAAAGATACAATATCTTTGATGTTTATACAATAAGGGGACATTTTATATCTCTGTTTATATTTTTGAAAACGTTTAAATGTATTAATTTGAAATAATAATGCTTTCCCTTCTGTACACCATTGTGACCCCTCTTCTAAATCCAGTTATTTATAGTCTAAGGAATAAGGAAATGGTGGAATGTTTTAAGTATTCTTTAACGCTCATTAATATAAAGTAATAGTCAGGTTTTTATACCTTTACCTACCAGTGTAAAACAGAAGTCAAGATTGTTATTAACCCAACCACCGTGACTTAGAAATTATAGTTCTAAAGCGCAGATCACAAAAAGAGGGTTACAAGTATTTGCGTGAGTACATTAAAAAAATAAAAAAATAAGACCTAGTGTGCTTTTTTGAGCCAAAAAAAATATAAGACAGTGTCTTATTTTCGTGGAAACACGGTACTGAGCTTAGGGTAACGGGAGGACGCTAGTTTGTGTCCTCCTGTTACCCTAAGGAGAACTGTTGGGTTTTTTTAAAATACCTGTGTCCCTATCTCTCTCTCTCTCTCTGTCTCTCTCTAATTGTCTTGATCAATAATTTTACCATTGTCTCTGAGAAATAAAATAAAGGGTTCATCCAAAAGTTTGAGTTCTACCAAAACAAAAAACAAGGGGGGAATCTTCAAACGAGGACACTTATTCCTGTGACAACTGCCTAAGAGGGGATTTAGCTCACATTGGAAAGATATCCTCTCACTTTCTGTTGAGTATACAAGACAGGAGGTGAAGGGAAGTCTCCCAAATGAAAGACAGGTGGCAAATAAAAACCTCCTGTACTCCCATATCCACAAAAACAAAAAAAAATGTTTTGGCTTTAGAGATACTTTAATTTTATCCTCTAAATCTGGAATGCTCCAATACCAGTATCGGTATTGGTGCCCATACGAGTATTTGCGTGAGTACTAGTACCAAATGCTCCGATGCCTAGCCCGATACCCAAACTTCCGGTATCAGGAAGCTGGGCAGCGAGTCATTACATGCTGCCTTGCTTCCTGATTGACCGGGAAGCTGGCTTAATGCTCCCTCATCACTTGGTGACGAGGGAGCATGGAGGCGGCTTCACGGTCAATCAGGAAGCCGTGCAGCGTGTAATGACTCGCTGCCCAACTTCCTGATAGGTTGAGAAGCTGGCCAATCAGAAAACCAGGCGGCGAGTCATTACCCGCCCTCCAGATTCCCGATTGGCCAGAAGGCCAGCTCCATGCTTCTTTGTCACCTGGTGATGAGGCAGCAACTCAACACACAGCCATTAATGTCTAAACCGCTGGCAACAAAAGTGAGTAGACCCCTAAGTGAGAATGTCCAAATTGGGCCCAATGAGCCATTTTCCCTCCCCGGTGTCCTGTGACTCGTCTGTGCTACAAGGTCTCAGGTGTGAATGGGGAGTAGGTGTGTTAGGTCATTAGGTCATTGTATTAAACCATTAAAGGAGAACTATGAGATGAGTGATTTCCACTCATCTCACAGCTCTAGCCGACCTGTGACAATGAGACTGTCACAGGTCGGCTCAGTAGATCGGGAGGTGAGCGAACACATACCGGCGTTCGCTCACCTCTCGATCCTGTCACGGCTCTCTGCCGTAACAGGGGAGGGGCTGGATTCCCCCCTCCCCGCTCCGATCCGCCAGCGATGACTGGCAGAAAAGGACGGGGGAGGGGGCGGGTACAGCTGGCTCTGCCTCTAGATAGGCAGAGCCAGCTATCACTCACGCAGCTGTGCGGATCTCGACACCGATGTCGGGATCCGCTCCGGCTGCGGCGTCTCAGTATACCGCGAGCTGTAGCTCCCTATATACCCTGTTTCCCCTAAAATAAGGCCTACCCTGAAAATAAGACCTAGTACTATTTTTGGGAATTGCTAAAATATAAGACCTACCCCGAAAATAAGACCTAGTTGTGACCATTCCCAGGGCCGGTGGTGGCATAAGGGGGAACTTGAAAAGATGCGGGAGAGGCAGGAGAGAATCAGAGGTGCCAACGAAGCCAGCGCTAGGGGAAGCGAGGCGACAGCGGAGGGAGCAGAGCGCATAAGCCGATGCCTCCTCTATAGCGCCGGCTTCTGTCACAGGCGGAGTGATACTAAATGCACTCCACCTGTGAGGGATCGATAGTGAAAGCGCGCTTCGCCCATTCTGGCCACCGATTGGTTACCAAATTGCTCTAGCAAAGGCACAGCACCGCTGATTGTCCTGATCACCATATTTGTGTACATGAATACATGTAGACTGTTGTAGATGAATAAGTGTGGATTGTTGTACATTAAAAAAATAAAAAAATAAGACCTAGTGTGCTTTTTTGAGCCAAAAAAAATATAAGACAGTGTCTTATTTTCGTGGAAACACGGTACTGAGCTTAGGGTAACGGGAGGACGCTAGTTTGTGTCCTCCTGTTACCCTAAGGAGAACTATGGGGAAAAACACAGACCCCATAGTTCTCCTTTAATGCTCGGTAACATAATTTGGATAAAAATCATGTTTAACCACTTCAAGACCAGGTGTTTAGACCCCCTTCCTGTCCCGGCCATTTTTCAGTATTCAGCGCTGCGGTACTTTGACTGACGTTTATTCCGTCATGCAACGCTGTACTGAAATGAATTTTACACCATTTTTTGGGGACAGATAGAGCTTTCTTTTGGTGGTATTTAATCACCACTGGGGGTTTTTATAGGAAAAATTACTGAAAATTTTGAAACAAATACGTTTTTTTTTAACATTATGTTAGGAAACATTTATTATTACCCAGTTTTTTGGTCAAATATAAAAGATCGGGTCACGTCGGTTAAATAATCTCTGACTTGTTTAAACTTAAAGGGTTAGGGTCTTAAGCCTCATTTGCACAGTGTGTGTTGCCCTGTACAATGTGAAGGGCCTTTTTTCATGCACTTAGAGCTGCACACACAAGCTTGCGGACAGCTTATTTAAGTCTATGGAGATGCAGGAACTGGGCACCCTCAGGTGCTGCTTCCCACAGCTCCAAGTTTTGATAGCTGCACACAGACAGTGTACAAACTCGGATGCGCACATGATGGATCCAGGTCCATGAAACATCTGTGTTTGGCTGTCAAAACTTGGAGCTACAGGAAGCAACATGAGAGGGCGCACACCTCCTGCATATTCATAGGCTCATATGAGCTGCCCACAGGGCCGGCCTTAGGGGTGTGCGAGCTGTGCGGCCGCACAGGGCGCCATGGCAACAAAGGCGCCAGGCGGCCGACACAGCTCGTCCTCATGGTGGCTTCTCTCCTCCTTCCCGTTCTGCCATCCGACATGACAGCACTCCCTCGTCTGCCGGGGGCGCAGGAGGGACACATAGTACTTTGCGTCCCCAGTTATGAATGGACAGGCACAGGGCACCTAAAGGCCTAAGGCAGGCCCTGGCTGCCCACATGCTTCTGCTTGCAGTTTTGGCTGATTACAAAAAATAGATACATACATGCCTCTATGAATAAGCCTACGGGTAAGACATGTGAGAGGTTGTAGCTGGTTGGGGGTGTGCAGTGCTGGTATTTGTTGCTTCATACACTTTTATTCACTGTTGTACTGGATGTGCTGTGAATTTCAATAAAGTCTGAAGTTTTGGAATTCTCTGGATAGTGCGGTCTGTTTGTATACTACTACATTCCAAGGTGGAGATGCACCTATTGGACCAGCAC